AGATTGGTTTTGGAGCAATACAAGGACTTGATTTATTTTAGGTGTAAGTTAGGGGGGAAGGAAGAGACAGTAAAACATTTACACTGCTGAGACCAATGCATTTCAAAGCAGCATTGTGTGGCATAGAGCAGGATGGGCACAGAGCTGATTGATGTCCCAGGGCTGCCAGCTGTGATAGCTCATTCTCCTGCTGGCTGACTCATCATGCTCAAATGCTAACTCTGGAATCAAGAGGGAAAATTATTCATCCTTTAATAGCCGAAATTGAAAAGTTACTTTCAAGAGTAATAAATGCTTTGGTCAGTATAATTTCTTTCATTTCTTTCTGAATTTCTTTAGATTTGTAGGAAGTATGAATGTAATGGAAAATTTCTGATTTAATGCACTCTTACATGTTGCTAAATGTAACTTTAGAAGTAAACATCATGGAAAAAAGTCTCTCAGCAAAGACTGAAAAAGAAAAAGGCCTTGATGTAAAATGTGAAGTTAGTCTCTCTGTTAGGTTTTGAAAAGATTGCAAAGTGTCTAAGTGTGTCTAATTGTTTTTAAAGTCTAATTTCTAGTCTAAACAGTATTAAACCAACAACAGATTTCTGAGCAGTTTCATTTGAGCAGTGTCCATAGAGATCTCCCTCTGGCAATAAGATAGCAATGAGTGCTGAAGTAGCATTTACATTCCTGAAACTTGGATGGTTTTCCAACTAGAATAGTTTGTTTAATAATAAATAAATAAACAAAAGACTCTGCTTCTGTACCTTGCTTCTGTAACAAGAGCAGTACATGTTCTAAATGTGGTCCTGCTTCATACTGAATTTGACTTGTTTTTAATAAGCTTAAATTTTACTAAGGAGCCATTAAAACAAGTGTTTTCTTTATTAATATTTGCAGCATGTCTCTGCAGAATATATATATTTTTAAAACATTTCACTGGTTCTTTTTTAGCTGCTTGGTGGCAGCCTTGTGTTAAGGAGCCGTGGGAGCTTTTGGCATTTTGAGTGCTATGTTGATTTAGATCAATTCCAAACATGATGAGACGTTAAATTTTCATCTGTGCATTGTCACTCCTTTATACCAGGCCCTCCTGGTATTTATGCACATATGGTCTTTAAATGCCGTGTGGAAAAGTATCTCTTATTTTGTCAAAGAGGAAAGATAATAATTGTTAATTAAGAGATTAGTTGGAGGCCATTTATAATGCTTTTAAGTCCTAAATAGTGATTACTCAGAAGCTGAATGTGTGGATAAGCACACCAGGGCAAAGTCTGTGTAAATTGCATTTCAGATGCTAGCAGCCCTCGTTTTCCTGGGCAGACCTTCACGGGAAATCTGCATGTCCACAGGTGAACACATGAACACATAGCCCCTGTGTGCCATCACTCTTTGGGTTGCATTTCCACCTAGCTACTCCTAAGAACCACAAATTCCCTCTGCTCCAGTCTCACAGGACCCTCCAATGGGACAGGGTCCCCTGCTGGTACAAAATGACAGTCCTTTCCTTTGGTCTCGTGTACCCAGGGCAGCAAGGCCAGGGGTGGCAGTTCTCCCTGTCCCTGGGGGAACCCGAGGTAGTGCCACCCTCAGCTGCTCCTTTCAGTTCCTCTCAGCTCCAATAGTGAGGGGACATCTCAGCGAGGGGACAATCCTGCCCCCCTGCAGGGCTCTGAGCTGGCTTACTGGGGCACAGCTGAGCTTTGGGCTGCAAGATGAGGAGCCACAATTAATTCTCAAAGGCTGAGATGTAATCCCAAAATATTTCTATTTATTATCTATTATCCAATATTTCTAAATATTATCCACTGTCTAGTAGGCAGCCAAGCAGGAAGTTCTGCAGAACCTTCTCAACCTGAGACCAGTGTTGTGCGTGAAGATTTCTGCAAAGCTGAAGGGGAAGGTGCTGCCTCCCCAGAGAAGGCAGCTGTGTATGCTGCAAACATCTGCATAGAGTATTGCCATTATCTATGGTAATGGATCTCCCGACTCCTGCTAGTGGCAATCGTGTTGGTATGTCTGAGCTCTTTGTCTCTGCCCCCCTGTAGCAGCAGAGTAAAAGCTGCTGTCTGTCCCTGCCCTACTCTGACAAATTTCATTAGCATGAGCAGGTTTGCATCTCTTTGGTAATACCACTTGGTTTCAAACATGCTATTTCTGAATCACAGTTTAGCAGGAGATTTTCAAACAAGCATTTAATGAATAATAGATAGAAACAGAAAGAATGCAGCTTAAGAATTTTAGATAAAATTAAACTAGCAGCTGTTAAATATTGTAGCAGTCATTACATTCAGAAGTAATCTGCTACCTGTCCAGGAGACTTACACATTTTATGTGTAATGGAAATGAGATTTGGTTTAATCTTGTCACACCATGATCAATTTGTGTCTCTGGGAGCCCAGCATTTGACACCACCTTTCTGCAGTGCCATTTGCTTCAATACAATGCAATTAATAAACCAGCAGTGTATAAAGATGTAATTTGCAGTTCAGATGGTAAAAAGTCTTCAAATCAGTAAAGGCAGATGTATCAGTGGATGATAAAACTCAATATTTTCTATTTTTAGAGCTCCATCATAAGTCATGTATTCTTCTTGTCCTATACAGACAGCTTGCCAAGTGTCTTTATTTCTTAACATAATTCTGGAAAAAGCAATGGCATAGAAATAGACTCTTTCATATTTTTAAAAACTATTTGTATAGAGATATATATGTTATATAGAAGAACATAAGTAGCATATATTATTTATACTTATACATAATATTCTGTAAGAACTAAGACTGGAAATAATTCTGGGCACATGGGACATATTTATCTCATTGGGATGGGATTGTGCCCCAGCTATGCAGAATGCTGTTACAGTGATCAGAAATATTTAAATTGAGAAGGAAGCTTGCAGAAAAGTTACACTTTCTTTTTCTGATGTTCATGAGAATTAGTCCTTGAGAATGGCGTTTTGCCTGACTGCGGGGGAGGCTTGGTAGGGTTCTGCAAGCAGCCAGTGGCACTGATATTCCCAGTTCTGACTGCAGAGCTTGCTGCCAGGCCACGTGTTAAATGCAGCTGAGTCAAGAGGCTTGTCAGTAATTCAGTGAACAGAGCACATTCCTGTGTCTCCATCTCCTGCCTGCTTGGTCTGCTCTGTGAGATATATTGCCCACAGAACTGTCTAATGCTCAGAAGTTCTGGGATTTTAAAAGTTATCCTCAGGTCTGTGGTGAGGGAAGTCTTCACATTTACCTAAAGAAAAGAATAATTAAGAGCCTGAAATATCCAAGGTGGAGTCGGGGGATTGGTGGGGGTGTGTGTTATTAAACAGGAAATTTAAAAGCAATTTTGTACTGTCTGGTCAAATAAACTTTCTAAACTTTCCATTGTTAATCAGAAAATGCTTGGGAATGATAAATGGATGAGGATTCAAATAATTAGATCTCAAACGATTCCATCTGTTTGGTGAAAAAAAACCCCCACAAATATATATATGTGTGTGTGTCTTTTTGTGAGTGTGTGTCTGACAGGCTTTGTCCATGCTAGAAATGTTTGTGGCCTTCTTCAGGTAGATATATGTGAGGAATTAATGCTTGAATGTTTATTTACATATTTTTACACAATTTTTCCTCCAGGAAGCTTGCTTAGTGGGCTCAGGCTGCAATGTCAGTCCCTACCTACACAGGCCAGAAATGAAGGACTCCAGGAGAGCTCTGGTCATTTATGGTTGTGGTTCCAGATCGGTTATGAGACACCTTTAAATAGAGGTGACAATTTTGTTTCTGGTTTTGTTTGGTTAGAGACAAACTCATGAACAGTGTCATCACTGGTTGAGCAAAGCAGGACTCACACTATGGCATGAAAATGAACAGTCAATGACAGACAGAGCCTAAAAGGGGTTCACAAGTCAAACTTGCATATAGTTCAGTGAAACAATTTTCTGATGAACAAAAAACTGTAGGATTTCTTGATTAATGGATATAGTAAGTGTATTTGGACTGGACAAGAGGTTGAAATGTTTGGTTTAGGAAAAGATTGACAAAGAGGATTTTAATGAAACTTCTACTGGATTAATAGAAAAAAATATAGCTGTGTAATATTAGAACTGAGTACACTGGAAGATTTAGACATAAACTAAGTAGGAGGGGTTTCAGTCTTCAAACCTCTGCCTCACCAACAGTCTAAGAAAGAATTGGAACTGTGGTTACAGTAACAGTTATCACATTGAGAGTGAGAAATGCTGAGAAATGCAGCCAGTGGCAGAATAGCAGGTTGGCCAAGTCACAGGGTAGACAGACAGCAGAGCACTGGATTTGTGTGGTGGGTGAGTGTAAAGCAGCAGGCAAGAACAGGGACAGATGAGTAAGATGTGCAGTCATGATCTCTGGAGGCAGACTGATACCAGGCAGGGCTGTGATGGAATTATCAATGCAGTGGAAGTCCCACTCTGTTCTTGCCCAGGAGAGGAGGGTGAAAAGGGGAGGGAATTCCCTGCTGTGAAGAACTGCCCATAAAGCAGCGAGAGCCTTTTATCAATGTACTACAGAGGCTTTACTGCAGCAGCCAAGTGTTCCTGCTGCACACAAAACCCAAATATGAACGGGAACGTTTCTGAAAGACGTACATAAGGTAGTAAAAAGAAAAAGGTCAGATAGCAGAGAAATCTGGATGACCTGCATAGCTGCAAGAGATCTGGGAGGGAAGATATGACATGAGTTCTGTAATTTCAGCAGAACTCTCAGCAGAATGTGAATTCTAAGGCAATAATTGTCATTTTTCTGATTCCTTAGTCCAGAAACCATACTTTTATATAAACGACCAGAAGCCTGTCGATTCATAGAATCCAATGACCTTGACATTTACCTTTCTCTGTTTCACAACCTTCTCCTCCAAACTCCTCAGCCTGTGCCTGGTGCTTTATAACCTGAGGCTGCAATCCCGGAGAACCCAGTGACTGAGTTTCTCCGCTTGCCTGGCTGAGGCTGTCTCGGGAACGCAGTGCTCAGCCCAGAGAGGAGAAGAACAGGGCCTGATGCTTGAAAAGGAATGGAACAGCAACTCCAGGGGGAGATCGGAAGTAGCAGCGTCCCTTCTCCCTCCAGCGGCCGGGGGTGCTGCGCTCCCCCGGGGGTACATTCCCCAGCGCCGTTTGAGGCTGCTCAGCTCCATAAATGCCATTTGCATGGGGATAGGATGTAACAAGAGCTGTAAATCACTGACAGCGGAGTGAACTCCTCAGGGGCAGACACGGCGGAGCCGAGCCTCCGAGAGCTGGGGCAATGTGTGAACGATATCTTTTGTTGGGGGGAGAGGACTGATGGCAATTAGATGATACTTATCTGGCCCTTTGATGTGTATTTACACAAACAACGTTTTCCTCCGGGAGCTGCTCTATAAAGGAGGCCCGTGCTCCCCGACACGCTCCTTCCCGGCATCTCCGAAGCAAGGCACGATGACTAAGGCCCCTTTCTCCGTGGAATGGTTGTCCCAGAGCAGCCAAGCTCTCAAGAGCCCCACCAAGGGCTCCCCACACCGAGCATCGTCCGCGGGCCACCGGAGCGAGCGGAGCCAGGAGCGGCCGGCAGGCCCGCGGGACGGGACGGGCGGCAGGAGCCGGGAGCGCCCGGCGGCCACTCCCGCCGCAGGTACCGAGGGACACCGGGGGCTCCCGGGCGGGGGCGGCGGCTCTGGGACACCCCGGGCCCGGGACGGCACCACTGCTCGGGGGCGGCGGTTCCCCACGCGGTGCCCGGGCCCGGCTGACCCTTTCCTTCTCCTCATCCCTGTGCTCAGGAGCAGGCGGGAGGCCATCGGGAGCGGAGCAGCCGGTGCCGGAGGAGGGTCCCGAGTGCCCGGGCCCCGAGGAGCCGTGCGGGCGCGGCGGGCGGCGGCTGCGCACGGCGTTCAGCGCGGAGCAGATCAGCACCCTGGAGAGCTCCTTCCAGCGGCAGCAGTACCTGGGCGCCGCCGAGCGCCGGCAGCTGGCGGGCAGGATGCGCCTCTCCGAGGTGCAGGTGAGCGCGGGCGAGGGCTCGGTGAACGGCGGCGGCACGGCTCCAAATAACGAGATAATCAAGCCTGGGTGGCGTTGTAACCTCGTCTTTTCTCCTTCTCCTGTACCCTTCCCCCAGATCAAGACCTGGTTTCAGAACCGGCGGATGAAGCTCAAGCGGCAGCTGCAGGAGTTGAGGACGGAGCCCTTCTGCAGCCCCGCTCTCCCGTACGGACCTCAGGGCGCTGTGGTGCCCCTGCCGCTCACATACGTGACCCGGCCACCCCCTCTGCCCCGGCAAGGAGCTGCCTCTGAGGGCTTCCCTGTGGCGGCCCTGCCGGCACCCGCCCTGGACCTCAGCAGCGCCTGCAGAGCACAGCCAGTTGGCTTTTGGGCAGCACCCTGCTTTGTGGGCTACCGGGACCCCAGGGCTTTCCTGCTGGGTGTCTGACCCTCTGATACCAACTAGGACTAAAGAGGATTTGCACTACTGACAGATATCTGGGCTGCTCTCGTCCGTAACTGCTTGGTGGAGCTATGATGCAGCACCGATCTAAACATTTCCAAAGACATGCTGGACAGTCTGAATCATGGACTTCAGGCCCTTGCATTTATAGGCAACTGTAAAATATAAACGGGGTGGGACAAACAATAATATAAATGGAATCTTTTAATAAACCTATTTTTTTTCCCAGCTTTCATGTGAATTCCTTTCTCAAGGATTGTAGAGGTATTCATCCTGCCCGGAAAGAAAGCTCCTCTTCACTTAAAGAAACATAGACTCCTTCTTACCTAGATTTGTTCTGCCCCACCTGCAATTTACTCTGCCACTGAATGCGAAAAAGCGTGAATTTCTCTGTCTTCTAAAGCACCTTCTGCTGCTTTCTGCCATGGAACTGTGGTTTTAGCAAAACATGTGGATACACCTGCTACTTAATACTGGGCTTGGTATAGTTGCAGAACAGATGCTTTTAAGATTTAAAAAATTACTTTCTAAATAAGTATGATATTATATCTTCACGTTTCAATGAGCTGCCTCATTAGTAAGATTAGTAAGAACCTCTTACCTAAACAGATCATAGAAAGGATCTTGAAATTTCTTATCTAGAAAACAGTATCTAGTCATCTCACATGCAGTTATCTGGGTACAAAGGTGATGATCAAAAGAATTTTAACATTCCAAAGCTGGTTTTCCATAAGTGGCAGTAAAATTCCTTACCACTGTGCTATGCACTTTTAAAGTTTGGATAATGAGCTAGTAAACTGATTATCAAAATGGCCTGATTTCAGGCCAGAAAAAGGGCTCTGAGAAATGATCTTTGACTGTGAGTTGACATAAATCTTTCAAAGTCAATTATCAACTAACATGAAAAGAGCAATAAAAATTTCCATTACTGTAGAGATGATCTGGGGGGTTACTAGGATATTTCCGGCACACTGGTAATTTTAACTCCTGTAATGAATGGTCTGAGGGTTCTCTATCAGCCTCCTTCAATATCTTTTGTATACAGAGGCAAATCTCTCGCTTGTTCCCTTGCCTGGTGAAAAGCAACATTATGTGCTGCTGTGGGGAGTGGGCTTTGCAGTCACCTCTGCAATCGTCCCCCCTGCAAATTTTTTTTTTTTTTTTTTTTTTTTTTTTTTGTAATCTATGCTGTATTTTTCTAGTCTTTTGAGATAATAGTATTTGTTTGCAATTGCACAAATTGTGTATCTCTAATGCAAGAGTTTCAGCTAAATTAAAAAGGGCTCAGGTGCTATCAGTCTTGCTGAGATCTCAGGAACATTACAGTTATGGATTAAGGAAGTTTGTTGACACATAAGTAAAACTCCCATTCGATGGAGGCTTATTGCTCAAAGTCAGGGATCATTAAACGATAATATTGATTTGAAGAAATCTCTCTGACTCTTTCAAACATCACTGCGGAACTGGGGTGTCTCCAAAAAGAGCTGCAATCGTGAATATTTCCCTCTGCTCTAAAGCAGTCATGTGTAAAATAACAAAACAATCAAGGCCAATAAATGTACAATTTAAAAAAAAATTAAACTCCATGTGGCTATTGTGTTTTCAAGGGAGTAATGCTTGAAGGGTTAGGAGTTCCCTTTATAATCTCGTATGGCCACAGAGGAGAGCCCTGCCACTCCTCCAAATGCTCTGTTCAGCTCGTACGACAGGAATAATGGTAATAACCCTTCCTGCTCTCAGAAGACAGAGCGGCGTCATGGGAAGCTGGGGGTGAAGGGACGGAGCGCTCTCTGAGACCACCGGGACTCCCCGCAGCGTTCCGGGAGCGCCCCAGCCCGGGCCAAACGAGGGAGGGTGAAAGGGAAGTGGGCATGGGCAGCGCCGCAGCTGGGCCCGGGGAAAGTGAGAGACAGATGGAAAGGCTCCGGAGGAGAGAGGGAGAACAAAGTGCTCCCGCCTGCTGAGGGGAGCTGCTTCCTGGGAGGAGAACTGCGGGGATGGCGTTTGTGCAGGGGAGGAGAGTGTCATCGTCCTACCCCAATGCTAAAAAGGGAGAGGCAGGAGCACTCTCTTATGGGTCCCCATGTCCCCGGGGAGAAATGAACTGGGGTGGCTCTGAACGAGCCCTCTTTCCCTGGGTCGGCCCTCTCCTCTCCCGGGCTCGTAACGCGGGGCTGCAGCCGCCGGGCTGGGCTGTCCCGTTCGACGGGCGAGCGGCGCGGAGCCGGCCCCAGCCTGCGCTGCCTTGGCCTCCCCTGCCCTGCCCTGCCCAGCCCAGCCCAGCCCCGCTCTGCCCAGCCTGCCCTGCCCTGCCCGCACCCGAGCTCGGCTCCGCCGCGTCCGGCGGTGCCCGGAGCGGGGCAGCAGCTTCCCCTCCGTGCAGAGGTTTAGAGCCAGGCAGAGACAGCCGGTGCTGCCGGGGACAGCACGCAGTGCTGCCGTCCTTGCCGTGGTTTAATCCCTCGGGGTTTGTGGGGCCAGGCGCGGTGCGAGGCCGAGGGCAGCAGCCCCGGGGCGGTCTCGGGGACGGAGGCTCAGCATCCCGGGTGGGTGTGTGCGGCTCCCCGTGCTCTGGCCGAGGCTGGCAGGTTTGCGCTGGTTAGCGGGACTAACGGGGCGTCCCAGCTCTGGGCGTACGAGCTGCAGAGCGGCTGGCCAGGCAGAAGCCTCTCTCTGTTCGAAAGGGTGCTAATGGTCACTTAACATAATGACTCCTTGGGCGCAGGTATATTCAGCAAGCACATGAAATACTTTGCCAGTGTTTTGGCAGGTCTAGCTTGCAAATAACTCTTCTATTTCCCGGTAATTGCTAAATGAGGGCGACAGGTGATGCTCAGTTGGCTGAGTCCCTAATGGTATCAGGTTCCTCCGAATGTCCACATGATAATTTATCTCCGACCTGCAAAAACCGGCTTTCTCTAGAAGGCAACTACTAGGTTCCCGTTGTCTAGAAGGCTTTATGTGAAGTAATTTCACTTTTGCTGAAGTTGTCCAACTGCGTCATTAAAATGTGAACGCACGTTTTTCCTTTGATCTGAGAGAAAGAAACACGGACTTCATGTTTCATGGCATGACGTGACAGGAATTCAAACATCCTGCTTGTTTGAATTTCTCCTTCACTGTGTTTTAGCCCTGGCAGCAGTACAGGGGCACTAGTGTCAGTGATACCTGCACGGTCGCAGCCCCTCGCAGGAGATGGGAGCGGTCCGGCAGCGCGGCGGGGAGCACCCCGCCTTTGTGCCATCAATCGCACCGCAACCACCCAGCACCGGAACGCTCTCCAGCAGCACAAAGCGGTGTGGGCAAGTGAGATACAAATGGAGAAAAAAAAAAAGCAGCCGGGTCGATTAGCTGGGGAGGAGCAGTTTAATGCTCGTGGGGTGAAATTGTCGGAACCCCCCGGCCCGGCGGCTCTCGAGGAAGAGGCTGTATAATCTGGAAACTGGGCTCCCCGGGGAGGAAGAGGGGATGGGAAGGGAAAATTGCCGCAACGCTAACTTCAAAGACCTTCTCCCCTGCAGTGCGTGCGCGGAGGGGGAGAAACCTGATTGAATTAACACCGCGGGGCGGGGGAGCCGCCAGCAGCCGCGCTCCGAACCGCCCGTCCCAATTTGGCTAAAGCAGCCATCAGGGCACTGGGAATAGCATCGGGGTGTATCACCCCCCCTGCAGCTCCTAGACATGGTGGAGCCACTCCAGGAACCTCTTTACAAACTAGGTGAAGTTATTCGGCGTTGTGTGCTAATCGAGAGAGATCTCGCACTGTTAGGCCATTACATCTAATTGCTGCCCATTATCTCTTTCTTTGATACTCAATTAGATGACCATTAACTTGATAAATCCCACCGAAGTGGAGGGGGGAAGAAAGAGGAGAGACTTCTTGGCCTCGACATGTTCCTTGCGTAGATTTTACTGCTCTTCCTTTATACTTGTGTCTTAAACTCTAGGCTTCAACCTAGTGTTATCCTCTAATAGCACCTAGCAGGGAGCTAATCCCAGTGTCTCTTCGGTATTCAGGTAGGCTAAGTGCTTTAATTTTTATTTCAGCTCCTAGTTACTCTGCCTGGGCCATTCTGAACAACTGTGGAGGTGTCACAAGTCTTCAGGCGCTGGGGCCATGGGGCGCATTGAAATTCAAGTGCTGGTTTGTTTCGAGCTAACTTGTGCTTAACTCATCCAGGTGCTTTGTCCATTAGTTCTGCAAAGCACGCAGAAATATTTCCCCGATAAATCGTTTTTAATGCAAAGCGCGTGTTGGCTCTCACAGTGGCTGAATGGGGATATCTGGGCTTGCAGCCTGAGTCGGCAGGGAAGAGGGTGAAGCGCTGCCGGCTGAGTCAGTAGCATTTGTCATTTATTGCGTGTTAACCCGCATTGTTCCCGTGGGCAAAGGAGCCGCGGCCTGATGGCACTGTTAGTGTTCACGGGTACTTCAAACAGAAAAGCATCTATTCCCAAACAATCGATCTCGTTGATGCCTAATTGACTATCTAATAGCACCTATCAGGACATCAAAGCAGACGCTGAATAACCAAGTTAGCATTTCCAAAGGGGAGCAGTGGAGGGTACAAACAGCCATCAGCTGTCCCACCGGCCAGGAGCGCAGCCCGGGCCCCGTGCGCCTGGGGTTCCTGGGGCCCCTTCTGAAGCAAACTGTCCTGTCTCGCCTGCACTTTTAGCCGTGTTAAAACCCCGTTCCTTAAAAAGCGCTCACTTACCTCTGAAGGGATGCTACACTTCCCCAGGCTCTCTCCTCCTGCCCATTGCGCAGCTAAACAAGTTTTTTCATGGTGTTCCAATGTTGGAGTCTTTTTGGTTTGGATTTGTTGGGTTTTTCGCTTTCTCATAGTGGAGCGGGTGGCATTGCACCCCCTATCATCTCCACTCCTCTGGTTTTGTCAATAATAAATAGGAAAATCTGTGCTTTTCATAAATATAACTAGGATCTGTCTGTGATGGAGTCACTATCCCAGATCAGGTGGCCTAGTACATCGACTCTCAATTTATGATAAATGCTATGATAGTGTCTGTATATTGTTTTGGGGGTTTTGTTTGTGTTTGGTTTTTGGTTTGTTTGTGGGGTTTTTTGTGTTTTTTGTTTTGTTTTTTGGGTTTTTGTTTGTTTTTTTTTTCATGGTTACTTACAGACATGGCTAGCAGGTAGAAAGTTTGCAAAATGAAGATTTGCCCAACTATGCTAGCAATTATCATTCCCCTTGAGAAGGACTATTTTTCTGTTGGCAAAATATGTCCACTTTTTCTTAATGTTTTCATGCAAAATCAATGTGATGGTCTGGTGAAGGTGGCCTTGGCACATCAATAGCATTCCTGGATAACAAAAGTGCTTCAGCATCTGGCAAAGGACGAGTATTTAGTGTCTTGCAGCTTGAACGATGGGCTGGACCTTCCTCAGGCAATACCTTCACGCTGTAGAACTGCTGCATGGTTCCCATGGTTTACATGCCATGTGTGCACAAAGCCTCAGATGAAATATTCCCAGGCATACCAGTGAGAGAAATCTGCCATTTGTCCTTAGAAGTCTTGCAGAGCTCACATGAGAAGAGCACTCTGTCCTGACAGCCGTAGCTGTAATTATCACATCCTGGCACGAATCGCTGCACTGGCGTTCGGGGTATCATACCGAGTCACAAGAGTGCATAAGCTTTCAGGACATTTCTTGAAGCAGCAAGTGTATTTATTAGGGTTGTAAGGCTTACATACAAAGGCAGAACAATATTTTGAAATGTGATTTGGAGAAATGGGTCGTCCACTATGTTCTTAATATAACACATGTAAGAAAAATTACCCATTTTTCAATATTATAAAATATCTGAAATTCTGAGTATACAGAATTCTATAGGACAACACATTTCCCCCGAGAATTTAGATTTCTTTTTCGTCATATTTATATATCAAATCAATTCAATGCTGTAAAAATTTCACATGCTAGGAAAGAATTGAATGGAAGTAAATTTGTGGCTCGTAAGAGCCCCATATTACTGCAAGGTGAGGGGAAGATTTAACTGCAGATGTAGCACCTCTGTCCACCCAGAGTTGTTAAAAGTTTTCAAGTTTCTCAAGCTGCCACCTCTTTCTAATGGGAACCACAATAGCCACATAACACCCTCCACACTTTTCCCATCTGTTCCAGGGTTTTGTGGTCCACAGATGCAGCTACTTTCATCTGGAGTTGGGGGGATTTTAGTGTTGGGTTTAAATACCCCGCTGAAGAGGCAATTCAGATTGGAGTCTAATTAAAAAAAAAAAAATCAGTTTTCATTGACTTTCAGCAAACTGTTCAACAGGTGAACATCTGCTTCCCTGCACTCCCAGCCAAATGAGAGGGAGGAAATGGCAGCAGCTCTTCGGGGTTAATAATACTTGCCTTCTCTAAGACACACGTAATGGATCAGTGCAAATGTTGGTCTCTTTGGGCACAGCACTGCATGGGCCTCTTGTGTCTGGTTCAATTTTGGCAGCTGGGGATGAAGTGTCTCTCCTTGAGGGCAGTCCCTGGCTGTTTCTGCATGCTCGGGTGAGGGGCCTGCAGGGCATGGGGGACCCAAGGCTGCCTGGCTTGGCACAGATTTCTGCTGCTGGAGAAACGGTGGGGGAGGCTGCCCTGCTGGAAGCAGAGTGCATGCTGCCGGCGGGTAGGTGTGTGCTCCGTTTAGGAGCTCCTGAATACCGGCGGTTTTCCTGTGTTTTGTCTAAACTTCTTTCTGGTGAGGTAGTCAGGCTCTGCAGACAGCACTCACTGCTTTACCAAGGACAACTTGCTGTGCATGATTTTTTATGTGGCAGAACATGGTTTTCTGCTTGGATTTGTCCACACATGAGGTTATTCAGAAATTGCTGTTCTGAAATAAGACTGGAAATAAGAAAGTGATGCGTTTCCTTCAGAAAAAGAGGGACCAAACACGAGTGGAATAGTTATTAAATCCTGAAGTTATTAAAATTAATGTGCAGGCTCTTAGGTCATTTGGGGGACAGAACCTATCCCTGCTTGACCAAAATGTGTCTGGGATTTAAATGGTCGTGTTGCAGTGGTTTTGGCTGGGTCAGTGGCACTCACAGGTGTGCACTTCTGATCCAGGGTGGGATCCAGCCGTGTTCACCTGCTTGGACATTTGCACTGGCTTTTGCATATCAACCAAAATGACAGTCTTGTGCCAGCAGTAAGTGAACTCCTTTAGTGGCTGTGCTCAGCACCCCTCAAAGAGCAGGGCGATCTCTCTGTCGGGGCTGTGCCGAGAAAAAAACAGACTTTCCCATCCCTGCCCTGAGGGGATGGTGTTGCAAGCAAAGCTTCAGGAGGCATCCAGCTCTTGGGCTCTGGGGGCTTGGAAAGGTGTTTGCATTGCTCGGGTGCCTGGGCTTTATCCCTCCCCCGGGGCCAGTGTGGGGATAAACCGACTTTGAGGGATCGGGGGGGGTCGATAACCCTCTACACATTCCCGCGGCCACGGAGTTACGGGAACACCTGAGACAATGAAATTTAATAGCACGAATATAAGGGGGTTTTCCAAATTATTTTCGTAATAAACTGGGGAGGTGGTTCCGTTGGGGTTTTGTTGACTTCTTCTGGTTCCTCCTCACATTGCCCATGTATGTGGGAACCTAGATTATTGCTGTGTTTTAGAAAGAAACAAAACTAATTCGCTGTTAGACCCAGGTTTATGTGACCACTTCTTCCGGTGATGCATCCGAGCAGGAGCTCTGAGGATTTTGGAATCGTCATTTAAATGGAGGTCCTGTCAGTGCATCTACCCAGTTGGAGGGATTGGCGCTCGCTTCCATTCTCCTTTAAGCGAGGGTTAGAATGTGACTTATTCAAGTATCGATTCTGCCGGTGTGGTATTTTTTACTGGCGTGACAAAAAGCCCGGTGAAGTTGAACAAAAGAAGAACCTGGAGACAGGTTGAGCTGCCGAGATGCCCCTTTCCCCCAGCCAAGCTGTGCTGGGAGATGTCCTGGTGTCCTCCCTGCATTACAAGGGCACCGTCCTCCTCGGGAAGCGGCATACGGATTGGGGTATGAAGCTGATGAGGTGCGAGCTCCGCTGCTCACTCAGCGCTTTGATCACTAAACGATTGGGGAGATGGGCTGCGTTTTCTGGCTAGACAGACGGCGCCAAGTTCAAGCTGAGAGGGCCCGAGGCTCTGCTCAGCCCCAGCCCGGCTCTGGCCAGGAGAGTGAGGGTTGATCCCCGTGGATAGGGACTTCTTGACACTGGCCCCCCATGGCTTTTCCCAGGGAGGGCAAAGGACGGCGGGACTGGCAGGCTCTACCCGAGGTTCCTTATCCCTCATCCCTGCCCCGGTCCCGTGGGTGGGGTCTCGGGGCTGATTTCGGGCAGGTGTGCGGCGTGGGACCCCGCGACTGAAAAGGCCGCGGTAAAGCCGCGCTGCCCCCGCAGCCGCGCTGTCTTCAGACGCCCGTTCGCGGGCTGGGGCTGCCCGTGCCCTGCCCTCCAGGGGAGAGGGGCAGCTTTGCACTTCAAGGGGGTCTCCCCGGCCCCGCAGACACGCTGGAGCCAAGGGCTGTAGACATTTGCCAGACGTGTGAACTTTCCTCCTCGCTGGTAGCTGTTATCTCTGCTCGATTCCCACTTTGATGTGCGTTCGCACTTACAAACGACCCCTCCCGGCACGGAGAGCCCATATAAGAGCGGGTCGCGGCCGCGGGCCGTCCAGCCCCTCTCCACCATGAATCAGACCCAGATCCCTTCGGCAGAGACCAAGCCCAATGGGGCCAGGCCCCACATCTGCTGTGCGCCCCCTCCCCGCGCCCCCAGCTCCCTGGGCAGCCCCACCGTGCTGGTCAGAGCCAAGCCCCGACGGAGCAGCCCCGAGCCGGGCCAGCCCGCCGACAGCGAGCCCTGCGCGGCGGAACCGAGCCGAGAGGATCCCCGGGATATCAGCGACCGCTGCCCGTCGGAGACAGGTGGGTGAGGGGGGACAGGTGGGTGAGGGGGGCGGACAGAGGAGGGGAGCGGGCCGGGGACACGCCGGTGCAATGGCCGGGCAGGGCTGAGGGGCGGCGGAGGCACTGCCCCAGCCGTGCAGGGGCCTCACCGCCGCTCCTCCTCCTCCGTGCAGCCCCCGACGGCGGCTGGCTCAGCGCCGACGAGTCCTCGGGCTACGAGAGCGAGAGCGCGGAGCGCGCCGGGGCCGCGGCGGCGGGCGGGACCCGCGGGCGGCAGCGGCGGGCGCGCACCGCCTTCACCTCGGAGCAGGTCTGCCGCCTGGAGAAAACCTTCCAGAGACAGAAGTACCTGGGCGCCACGGAGCGCAGGAAGCTGGCGGCTGCCTTGCAGCTCTCGGAGATCCAGGTTAGTCCCGCGGGAAGCGGATCCTTCCCGGCCCCGTTCGGCGGGAGCAGGCAGGGTCGGCGGTTCCACACCTGTCTTTCCTGCGATTAATAGACTCTTCAGTTTAGTAAGGGCTGTGGGATCCCTCGGGGATTAACGAGTTAGCACTCAGGGAAATTCGCGGCACTTTCTATCGGGAAACCATCAAGTTTTTTTTATTTCTTAATGAGATAAACTGTCCTGGATATACAGCGATCTGCGTGTAGACTATGTAGAGCTCAAAACTGGTCTTAAAGACTAATTGATTATTGTAAATTCCCTGAACGCAGCCACTCCTTCCTCTACATCTGCCTTCTGCCAAGCAGGGTAAAAGCATCAGCCCCGCTGTGTCAATTCCATCTGAAGGAAAATGCCAAAGGCAGCCGAGATACAGTTGCTCATAATTTGCTCATTTTCCTTAGGCAAAGTCCCTGATTTTTCTCCTGCACCCCCTCCTTCTTTTTGTTGCTTAGATTAAGACCTGGTTTCAGAACCGGAGGATGAAACTGAAGAGACAGATACAGGACCACCAGCACAGCCTCGTGCCCCCTGTTCCATTCCACAGCTACGCCCCGGGGACCTCGCCAGCTATGTTTCAGGATGGTCTCCACTACCCCTTTGCTGCCCAGCACCAGAGACTCTTGCCTTTTACCCCGATGCCTGCTGTGCAGTTCAGCTTCTCCTTTCCCAGATATGACGCATCGCAAAGCACCTACCACTTTATGGCAAATGAACTGCCCTACTACCACCAACACCTTCTTCCTCATCCTTCTTTCCATCCGGTTATTCAGAACAAGATGGACAGGCAATGCCACCCAGTATATGCGTTATAGTGATAAAGCAGTGGTTTATACTGTAAGGTGTTTCATGCTCAGAAATCTCTTGCCTGATTTGGAAGAGTGTCTTTATTACTTTTAAGTTAAATGTGAACATCAATAATTTTATATTTGATAATTAATATTAGAATATTAATCTAGTTTAAAATGTTATGTTATGTATCATTGCTCCCCCCAGTTTTTCATAAATGTGTGTATATGTAAATAAAAGATGAACAGGGTTATATGTGCCAGCTCTATAAAAGATTGCACTTGTGCAATGCAAACTGCGGTGGTCACTTGTCCTCCTTTGTAAAGGTAATGGTTTCAATGGTTAAATACATTTTGTCTGACTTTCCTACTGTCCACCGAGATTGTCTGTCTATTGAATGTTTGGTAGCCTGGACAGAGGCAACTGCACCCTGTTGCCCTGCACTGTGCTTTGGGCTAAGTACATCCTCCAGAGGAAGGATAAGCTGTCGGTGAGTTTCTCTTCTGGATGTAAATCAAATATTACAAGTCCAGTCCCATCTTCCATGGGAATGCAGCAGAGGTAATAATATTAAGTCAGCATGTCTTAAAACAGGAATTAACAGATCAGGCCTTCATTATGGAATTTTAAAGTTTTACAATTGACAAAGCAAACGCTAGGTAAAAAAATTGTGGGTGTATTTGTGTCTGGTTAAAAGCCATATCATCTGATTGGGATTGTAACCTGAAAATTTGACCTTTTGTCTCGCCACTAGAAAACAATTATAATTGCGTGCTTGGCAATTTGCACTTTTTTAGCAATTTGATCTATTCTCTTTACACATACAAAGTTTTGTTTTAGTAATCCCGAAATGTGTTGGGTTTTTTTTAGTTCATCCTGAGAGTGTTAACTCCTAAAAGCGCTTACTTAACATTTTTTTCTTAGTCTAGATTTTAATGAAGTTTTGTTAAATCACCTGTAATGCTTTTTAAATTCATTAGTTGGTTGTTGCGTTGTAGCCCAAATTTCCACCCTCCTGCCCTCTAATGCAGTGAGTCATCAAGAGTTTCGATGTAATAGCCTAGGGGCTTCTCACTTGTGAAAAAATACTTGGAATAGGTAAAGGGAATTTTCTGTGTTCAAAGTGACCTAGAAATGCACGGGTCGCTCCTTCAGGTGCCTGGCTGTGTCACAGATCGGTGCTGCCCTGTGGGGCACAGAGAAGGGATGTGGTGGGGGAAATTCCTTCGCGTGTCTCCCAGCTTCCCCTCCTCCCTTTTGTCTACCAAACGCGACGGAGGGAGGTGCTGGTGGGGAGGGAGAAGAACGGAGAGGGAATGCATGGCACAAAGCTGTTGCAGCCCCTTTTTTGCCGTGTGAGCAGAGGAAAGGAGGGTTCGGGTTTTTTTCCTTGGTGGTGGTGGGTTTTTATTTTGTTTTAATTTTTTTCTTTCTTTACAGCTGTAGAGTAGTCTAACCATCACCTCGCAAGCAAGTTAGATTGGTCTGGAATGGGGAAGGAGATGTCACATCTGCTGCAGCTGCTTCTTCCTGATGTAAGGTCTCTGGTTTCCCATTTTCTAAAGGCTTGGCTTTGCCACTTTCCATAAAACTTGCTTTGTGACTTTTAGGAACAGCCCAAGTGTTCCTAAGATCAAGCCTAAACTAATTCTGTGGTTTAAAATATAGGGAGGCTATCAAGTTGCAGCAGCAACTTTTGGAAGTAAAAAGTGAAATTTTTTATTTATGAGTGTCCCAAGAGGCCTGAATTGGGGAACAATTCGTTTTCATAAGCGGATTTAAATAGCAAGTATGTTTGACATTGACATCAACATACATGCTTGCCTGTTAATTTCTTACCTTTATCTCTCTTCTAGTGCACAAATGCAACATGTCCATCAAAAAACAGGAGAGGCCACTTGAAGAATGGTGCAGAATTGACACATAAAAGAGAATACTGGGCAACTTGTTCGGTTTTGTTGATAGCGTTTTTACCTTTGGTAACATTTTAATTTAAATGCACTTGGCTGTAGCTCACAAACGTTTCCGTAAAAAACCCCACTCAGGTAGAATGGACAGAGTTTTTAACACCATTGCCTATTAAATGACACAGTTACTACATAAATTTCAGTTATACAGTACCCACTTTTTTAGTGGATATCCCCACATAGGTTATTTTCTGAAAACTTAGGAAAATTTATACAGAAGTTTCTATACAGCATGGTGATAACTGTGGGTATAAAGAGATTTCATGTCCTCCACTTCCACTCTCAGTATAACTTCTCTAATATGGGCAAATTATTTTCTCCTCTAATCAAACTTTTTATGTAAAGAAAATAATTCAAAGAATCTTTATTTAATATAACAAAATAAATAATTACTCTTAGAGATATTTGGCACTTTTTTGAGTTTACATATAATCTTTTACATTTTTAACAGGAAGGAAGATCTCGTTGGAACATCAGTCTTATGTTCTGTGGTTAGAGTCACTGCTGGAAGCACAGAAGAGTAACAAGATAATCCTGGTCCGGGAGGCAATAGTAAAGCTGGACTTGGCAAAACTGGCTGAAGAGACTGAGCTGGAACAGAAGGTAACAACAAGGCAGGGTTTGGCACAGCTGGGTGAAGAGAAACAGCAGAGGTAGCAGAGACATTGACGTCCATCCCATGAGGATAGCTGGATGTAGCCATGTCTGGGTAACAGTGACAGGGCAAAAGCAAGCCAGAGAAAAGAGCTTCTATCCTGGCATCTTGAGTCTGGCGTTTGAACTTCATACGACGATTCTGAAACCAGGTTTTTATCTGAAAATAGGAAAAAAGAGTCAGGAACCAACCCCCTCATCCCTTTTCCATATAGTAATACACCCTGAAGGCAGACTTATTGCCAAAGTAACAGTATGCATTAACAATAAAGGTGTAGGGCTATATTTAATGCACAGTAATTGTCTTGCCATGATGAGGAATTGAACCGTGAACAGTCCATGTTGCACAGCAAGCCAATACTCAGACATGGGCCAGGGCTGTAACACAAGACTTGTGCAGTGGGGATAAAAGGGCTGGGTTGGGATGGTTCTGTTAAAAAATCCTGCAATGCCCCTGTCAAGTAGATACACAACCATAAGAAAGAATTAGCCTGAAAACTGAGGTTCAGGACATCACAAAAGTACTTTTACCCCCAGCGAAGTTTCAACTTTAGAATTTGCATTGACCATTTTCCATTTGCCCCTTGTCCCTGGAGCGCTCGGAGCTGAGCCGGGCAAGGCCGGGCTCTCGGTTTGCTCACGCCCCGTTTGCTGCCAGCGGGGCCAGGCTGAGGGCGGCCCGGGCCGCCGCCCCTGCAGGAGCTGTCACTGTGGCTGTCACTGCCCCGTGCCCCGGTGACCGTGAGGTGCCTCCCACCCCCGGGCCGTGTCCCGCTGGGGCGGAGGGCGAGGCGGCGCTCACCTGGCTCTGGGAGAGGTTCAGCACGGCGGCCAAGCGCCGCTTCTCGCCGGCGCCGATGTAGCGCTGCTCGCGGAAGCTGCGCTCCAGCTCCTGCAGCTGCGCGGCCGAGAACTTAGTGCGGGGCCGCCCGGGCGCCGCGCCCGCCGGCACCGCTCCGTGCCCGGGGCGCTCCGCGGCCTCCCGCTCCCGGGGCGAGTCTGCGGGGACAGATGGGGGCGAATGAACGGGGGACCCTTCCCTCGGCGGGCCCCGGGCCCCGCGGGCGGCGGTGACACCGTGGCGGCCGCGCCCCGCCCGCCTCTGCTCGGGGGGACCCGGGGGGCACGGCCGGGACTCACCGGGCAGCTCCCGAGCTCCGCCGCGGCTGCTCTGAGCCAGCCACTCCACCGAGAAGGGCCCCTTCTCCATGTCCCCAGCCCCGCCGGCCCTCACTGGAGCCGCCCCGGACGCCGGGGCAAACATTTAAAGCGCCGTCCCCGGCGGGGTTTGAAAAGGCCCAAAGCATCAAATGAGGCCGGGGACAAAGGACCTCATTGAGAGGCGCTTTAATCTCCCCTTTCAGGTGATTGTTACATCCGCCTAATCTCCGAGCGCAGTAGTTTGCAGAACTCAAGGCTGCCGGACCTGGCGCCAAGTTCAGCGCGGAGCCGTCTCACCACGTAGGTGCTGGGAATTGGCCTGGGCTTCTTCACGCTGCCCGAGCTGCCCTCGGCCTCCGTGATTGCCAATCTTTATCTTCTGCTATGAAGGACGAGGACTCAGAAGGGACTGATAAGGAAGAAGGACAGGGAGAAGCCTCTTTTATGGGTCTTATAGCCAAGTTTTGCCACCCTCTTGCCTGTTTGATGCAAGGCTTGAAAGAATCCTCTTGCCTATCATCAGCAAAGGAAGTAGGGACGTGAGGTAGGGACAAGTAAGTAGTCCTCGTCAGATAGCAAACTTGAAGAAATCTTGAAGAAACTCTGATACAGTATCTTATCGATATGCCTGTGAGCAACTCAGTGCTCTGTACTAAGTCTGGGTGGGTAGAGGTTGTTTCAGCTTGGAGTTACTTGGAAAGTGCAGGGTTAACCATTTTTTGGTGCTGTCCATGAGGCAGAGTGCTGCAGTCAGGATTCTCATCTTCCTCTGAAATCTTAGGTACACTTGTTGACTTCGGTTTATGTAGTATCAGAGATTTTAAGAATTCTTCAGGGAGAGAATGGTTGGAACGAGAGGACAGCGGCATTTGCGTAGCAATTTGTTAGGTCATTTTCAGAAAACAGGGTGGGAAGTTTGGAATAATTTGAGTTCATGCTTATGAGTTTATTTAAGAATAAAATTAAGCAACGAGCAGTTATGTGTCAGGACATTGGACAGGAAACACTGAGAAAATTACTGGTTCGCTTGAATTTATCTGTTCATGTCTTAAAACGCCATCTCCTTTCCCTGCATCCCAAGAAAGAAATGTGTGCATTTCAAAGTAAACAGTTCTGATGTTCTTATGAAGTAGATCAAAGAAGAGGAGTGTAAACTCTGTTCAGAGGCAGTCTGTTCAAGGATGATTCAGATAAGGGTGAGAAAAGAACCACTTTTACGGTCTGAAGTGGGCCTGGGATGGCACAGTCCTTATCCTCTGCAAACACGGGCTAACACATTTACAGGTTGTTTCAGTAAACAGTCACCGCTGCTTGAGTTTATACAGTCAGAGATAATGAAGCAGCTTCCACGCGGAGCGGAACATGTTTGATACAACGTGCTAATTCTTAAACTTCAAAGAAATTCATGTCACATTTTACGAAGGGTGATGTATTTATAGTGAGATGGCATAAGTAAGATAAAGCCACACTCGCAGCTCTCTCTCTTCTTAGGTTTTCTATGTTTCTTAGGCAGGATTATTATTTCCTCACATAAAATGCAGTGTTAATTTTGTTAACTATGCTGAAGCATGAAACGTAAGCAATTTTTACACTCTGATTTGAATATTCTTCATATATACATTCATTTGCTTTTATAAAGTATTTTATTCTTCTTGTAGTAAAAAGGGAAAAAAAAAAAACACCACCTCTTGAATATCTACCTGAGCAGTCTTGTTTGGTTTGGTTTGGGTTTTTGGGTTATTTTTTTGTTTTTTAAATAAACATGACACTTTCAGTAGGTGACTACCTACGCTTACAGGTAAAGCAATGACTTGGCTGACCTGACACTTATGTTTTAAAGAGAAGCTCTTCTGGCTAAGCTAACAGAGACGATGGTTGCATTGTCTTCATGCGTTTCTGATTATGCCCACAGCAATTTGCAGCTCTTAAAAGCAATTAAGATGCAAGTTGAAAGTTACAGCTTTTCTTTTTAGTAAAAACCAATCCAAATTCACCAGCACCACCGTCCCACCCCCCTCTTAGTTTCCATAAGGTTACAGTAAAAATTACTGGGAAATTATTCAGTGTTCAGGATTATTTGTCTGAAAAGGACCATTCCAATTAATGGACCATTATTTTTTAGTTAGCCTGTTTCCTAGTCCTATAACCCTGCAAATTAATCCTGGAGAAAGTAAAGCTTGGTCTGGAAAAATGAGTAAGTACTAGGCAGTTTCTGAAGTGAATAATTGTAATTTTAGTGTAACAGGTAACATCTAACCAGAAGAATTAGCAAGATACAGTTCCTTTGTTATATTAATGTTTCTAGTTGTTGGTTATTGTTGTGCTTATTTTAATAGATGAGCAAATGTCTTGAAACAATGAAGTTTTTGCCATTATGATGGCAGTTTTTAAATTTGTATTTTAGTGTTAATGAAACCTGTCGATTTGTAGGTATTTTGGTTTGTTATCCTGCAATCATCGATCATGTTATTATCTGCCTGTATTGTAATAATCGATTGCACAATTTCAGGAGAAAAGCCCGAATTTCAAAAGACGCAGGAAGCTAATACAATGTTTTATTTACCTCTAAGGAGAGCAGTCCTTCAGACTATGGTTTAGATTGTGAGGCTTCCTTCCTACTTTTTTCATGCAGAAAACCATGTACAGGCATACAATGAAAGTGACTCTGGTGGCTATTTTAGACACTGTCTCTTTTATTGTAAACAGAAGTAGATGATATAATGACTAAACTGTCCTGTGCTGGCATGTGACTACGCTAAGAAGATGTATAGTGTTCTATTATGTTAGAAAATCAATATGCATTTTATTTTGTTTTTAATGGGTTTTGATCTTCTTAGTGTGATTATTTTCCCCTCTGAGATATTTCAATTATGTTTCCTTTGGTCGATATTTAAAATTTAGAGACTTGGGGTGTTGTGTTGTGTGATTGATTGATTTTGGAGAGGCAGTATCCTAATTAACAAGAAATTTTTGCCAATTGTCATTGACCTGCAATGTTAGAACTAAACAGGAAGCTCAACAAAACTAGAAGTATCGGTGGCTGTGAAGGTGATAAACACCAGCAAAAATATGCTTGAAATACATTATTTTTAAAGTATGCTAATGTTCATGCCGTGGAGTATTATTGTGATGATGTACATAAGATACAGATCATGGCTTGAGGCAAAGCTCCATTAAAAGGACTTTGATGGAGTGATTGGATGTCATAAGCGACCATCACCTGAGAGCAATTACCAGTCAAAAGGTAATTGTCCGTGTGTTTCTGGTTAGCAATTAACATTCGTCAGAACCTGTGTTGAAACATTTATCCCATTTTCCATTGATTATCAGTACTTTTTATGAACATGTGAGCTACAAAATCCATGATGACTCAAACTTTGACTAGGAATAGTAAGCTGTAAGTAAGAGTAGTGGAGTGCCACTGATCCACATTTTACTGCTGTGATTTAATGACTTTTTTTTTTTTTTTGACAGAGCCCTCAGTGAGGGCGTCTGGTGACACCTACAGCTGTGCTTTCTGTTGTCTATTTAATGCCTTCTTGAAATAACTTTATGATGTGTCTCATAGTTGTTAATGGTTTTAATCATTGCATCAATTGTCAAGATAATTTCCTGCAAAGCAACAATTAATCTTCTGTTGTTGGTTTGAGCACAGAAAATATTACTGCATAGAAGATGTAGTAGGATTTGTCAGTATGCTAGCAATGAAAAACCTCTGGAAACAGGATATTCAGTTATTTTAATAAATATTAAGGACATTCATCAGAATTACAGACTACATTAATTTCTATCTCATACAAGGACATGCCGATCTAAATGAGACATGTTTAAGTAGAACTACCAGCTCTGCTGTTGGGAGGAATTGAGTCACTCCTCCTTCTGTCTTTCTGGCCATGCTTTTCCCCATATGCTCTGAGTTTAGGTGGCCCTCTGATCTATCAGGGAGTCCATTTGGGTTTCTAAGCCAGCAGAAAATGAGGAGGAAGAAAAAAAGAAAAGAAAATGTTGGGGATTTTTTACAATTTGGAGGTATACCCGCTCACTGAAAAGCTGGATGAGCTCTTTAACTTGCACAAAGCAATGCTTGAAACAGGAGGAAGAAGAGGAAGAAGCAGGATGATTCATTCAGTAGTGAGTAGATTGTTGCTTTGTATAAGTAAATCCAGGTGTCTCTACCGTCAGCGGGTCAGTATAATTCCTCTTTCTCCGGATGGAGAGACTAAGGTAGAACAAGGTCAGAACTGGATTGATGTGCAGATGCAGATGTAACTCACTAGTAAATAAACACTGGTTTTTGAATACAACTTCTACTTTCAGGGCCTCCTTTTTGCCACCTTTTCTAGCAGTTTGCCCAGTGCTCCAGCGTGGCTCCGGTGCTGCCCCGGCCGGGTGTCCCTCTCTGGCCGCCCGGAGGCGCCGGGCCGGGCTCGGTCACCGCTCGGGCAGTGCCGCCTGCCGGGAAGCTCCCTTTAATGTAAAACAATACTTATTTTTTAGAATTAACATTCAAATACTGCTTAATCTTAATTTAGCCCCCTCGACATATTATACAGCATAAAAAAAAAAAGGCAGGGAAATTTTGTTAAAAACCTTGACCCATCTCATGGAAAATCTGCCTCTGTTTGCTGTGTCATTAGGCTTTCTTAATTGTATTTTTTTTCCCCTTTTCTCCTTTCTTCACTTGCTTCTCTTACCTATAGCTGTGAGGCTTTGGTCCTGCAGAATAGAGAAGGAGTATGGGGAAAAAAAAGTAATCATTTATTGGACTGAAAATTAAGTCCACATTGTAAGGCATGTTTTACAAACTGGATTTAAATTTTAATAATCACAGTATGTTTTTACTTTTAAGACCACGGTAGTTTGCATAATAGTTACAAAGATTACTTTAAAAAAGAAATAAATCCACAGTGTGGATGCATATCAAAGCTGACTATCAATAATGGTAAAAGCTACATTTTGCTGACAGGAACAAGCATTGTAAGCCCAGGTTCTGAAGGGGATTGTACTATTAAAACAAATAGCTTGCAGAAAGGGAAGGGTTTGGGAAAAAAAAAAACCCTAAAGCCCCCAAATTCTTGCATCCTAGCGAAAAATCGTGTCTTCCAATACACTCCATAAACAGCCAGTCCTTCTGTTCCTACATCTCTGCTTGTGCAGTGGCCGTGTCCCGGGTTCTCGCTCCGTGCCCGCTGCCCGGGCGGAGGCAGCAGGGGGAGCGCCGGGGGAAGGGATCGGGCGATGCCGAACCGCAGCGGCCTCTCGGGGCTGGGCGAAATCTGTCTGGTGCAAGTACGGGGAGATGGAAGAATTAGAGCTCTTTAATTAAACTGATGGAGCATTTTTTTACTAGAGCAAGGAACCCCTGGGTTAGCCCCAAATGGAGGTATTTGAAGCCAGATGTTGAGTCAGGCTCTTTATGTTTTCCTTTCGCTCTCTATGCTCACGTGTGTAAATTATCATTAAATTGCGGTTCTTTAGTGAAAAAAAAAAAAAAAACATGAAGTTAGCAAAGACTAATATACAAAGTTGTTTTGGTGGATTTTTTTTCCTGTTCATTGGTTCTGGTTTGCTTTTTGTTTAGCCCCAAAGCCAAGAATTTTTCTTTTTCCTCTTTCTGTCTTTGGTAAGAATTAATTTAGGCTCAGAAAATTAGCCTAAATTGGTCCAAGGTGATCAGGAGGAGGAGAAAGGTATGGCAGACTGCTCCTTTTCAGCATCAGTGAGCTGTTTAATCTGCTCAGTTTTTCTTATAGAACTGCACCTCTCTTGTTCGCATGGAGTAATGAAGCTGACCTATTGGTATCTTTAAAAAAAAATAAAATTCACATGTATGCTGCTGTGTATCTTTATTCACCACTTGTGCAGTAATTCTGATGGTTCCTTTTGACTTTAATGACTATTAATAGATTTAATTTTTTTAATATTCAAAAACCCCTTACAAGCTCTCTTTACCACAAGCTTTGATATGAAACCGGTGAATAAAGATGTAGTTGTGGATGTAAGTTTATAATTGCTTTTTAATTTAATAAAACAGTGATATATAAGTAGGATAGTCCTTTGACACTATTATATTAGAGATAAATGAAAAGCAGCTTCTAAAATACTCATTCAATATTAAATAGTGTAGCATAACAATAACCACCAGCTAAAACGACTTGTAATGTTTTTTGCTCTTTCTGGACTCACAGTGATGCAGAGTAACAAAAACTTTTGATCTGTGACAGAAACATTAGATATTTATTTGACATGCATTATGTACATTTACATTGTTTCATAACAGCAGAATTTTCCCCCCAGAATTGCTGTGACACATTGCTATTTAGAGTAAATGAAAGTAATTGGACAGAAACATAAAAATTTTATTTTTCTACTAAATGAAATGAGCAAAGAGAGCTTCTACTTCCACCTCCAAGACACCTGTGGGCGAAAGAAAAAAAATTATTATGTTTTTAATTTTTATTTACTATTAACTGAGTTTTACAATAGAAGACTTCACAATTCCACACATGCATGCATCATGTAAAAGGTACTTAGAACCTTAAAGGATAAAATCCCAAGAATAATTGGTATATTACTGACAACCCACTTAGGCAGCATTTGCATGACTGGGCTTTACACATGTGAGTCAGCATTACCTGGATTTAGTGATGGCTGCTCCTGGCACCTGTGAGACAGGGACAAAGAGTGGCATTTTTGGCAGTTTGTGTGACTATATTTTCATTATTTTCTGTTGGAATTATGGGAATAAGGACTGCAGGGGTAGCTTCTTAGCAAGGCATGTGCTTTACATTAGACCTAGTGACATATTAAATAATGTAGTTGGAGAAATGCTTAAAATATTACTCTTGTAATAAATCAGGTTTTAAGAGGAAACCAAGATTTAGATGTTAGATCAGAATAAATAGTGGCAGTATATTTTTACACAAGTTTTGATGATTAATTGGGGGTTTCATAAATTTACCTTTCATTTCCTGGCCCATCTATTTTCTCTGAACATTTCTGCTGCTGCCTTCCCGAAGCTGCCCAGGATGAGTGGTGAAGTACCTCAGCTGCCCCATTTTCCCATGCCCTACACCTCTTTAGAAGAAATTCTCAAAGAAGTATATGCATAGGAAAAAGGAACAACGAGCCAGATCATAAGCCACTCCATTTGCGGCAAGGATAAATCTGGAACACAAAAGTGTATGTTAGGGAGAATAAAAATAGTTTCTATTCTTTACACAGTAACCATTTCTTCCGAACCATAAGGCTAAAAGAGAGGTTGAAATATGAGATAACCAACATTAATGCATAGGATTCAACAGTATTTAGTATGTTAAAAATTCATCAGTGCATATTTTTGAAATACGTACAAGAAAGTGCAGAGTTCTCAGAAATAATGAAGTGCAGCTCTGCAGACTTGGCCTGAAAATTAATTACAAGTTAATAACAATATCCTCTTTTCAGTATATTGCACTATGGTACAAAATTTGATGCTTTTATATTTAAGACCTGAGAAAATACTTATTTGAATTACTGAACAAATGCAGAAAAGAAAGAAAGAAAAGTCTATAAATTACAAAATGTGGTAAGATCAGCACTACGAGCAGCAATGGGACTTACCTGGTTTGCTGTCTGGTGCCTGAAGTGCAACGACTTCGCTTTCATGAGAATTTATGCTTTGCTCAAGACCTTGAAGAAGAATGAACTATACAGTGTTACTGTTTTCTTAAGTGATAATCGCTTTGCCCCTTGCCAAGGTATTTGCTGCACCTGCACATTGGGTACACAAAAAGTGCTGCTGAAAACATGGGAAGTGTTCCTCATAAGTTGGGGGAGTCCAACAGACAGCAGAAGTGATAGCAATAATTAAAATGATGTCTTGAATTGTGTGCTGAGAATGAGAATTTATCGTCTGTGTTTTCTTTCACATACATCAATGGTGTTTGGAAAGTGTAAATCTGTGAGAGGACCTTTTGTTCTCAAAGCTTGTGCTGTGTTTTCAGTCTAACTCACCCCCCTTTTCCCCAGCACACTATTTTGAGAATCTCTATCAATGTCCTTCAGCTGCAAATGCGACTTTACTGGGGAGATAGCAAGGTCTGTGTACAAGGCTTTCCTCTGCTTATCCACGCACCAGTGAGGCTCCGTGCTGGATGCCAAGGCTGGGAAACATCTTTCATCATATTTAGTCCTATTTGCTAACAAATTAATTAACCATTTGCTTTCAAGTTTCTGTCTTTCTTTTAGGTCATTTATTATACTATAAAACTGCATTTTATCTCCTATGTAATCTGGTTTATATATTAGAAGTCTGAAGTGATCAGCTAAAATTGTTTGAAGAGGTTCAAATTAATTCAGAGAACAGCAGTGTCACAAGCAGTCACAATACTAATTGTTACATGCTGTTGTTTGTTCATAAGTTTGGACACTCCTGAAATGCACTGTGTGTTCTTTTTTGTGTGAAAGAAAGTTTCAAAGTTTCTTTAATTTCCTAATTTTCCTTTTCTAATCTCAGGTTCAGTTTGTTCCATTCTGTCATAAGCAACAGCTATTGCATTCTGATTTGTATAGAGTACCTTCAACTAAAAAAAAAAAAAACAAACCCTGTTTTTCAGTTTAGGATAACTGTTTCCTTACCTTGATTCTTTAAGCTTTTCTTCAGGTTTTGTGCTTGTGAAACCATCCCAGATGGGATCTGAAGCAAGTACTTAGTTCTGTGATTTTCAATTCTGCTGGGCTTTCTGCCTTCAGTCAGACAGCCACATCACCTGGAAAGAGAAAAATCATATTGCACAAAACCAGAAAATGTTCAGAGCTGTGAACACTTTCTGTGAACACATTTCAACAGCTTTTCACATAACAGCTGTGCCAGGGGAATTATTGGTTTTGGTTTTGCTGTGTGGTGTTCTGAGGGAGACAGAAAAGGTTGTTTGGTTTTGTTTGTTTTCCAGAGGGATTGAACGCTAAATTGCTGGATTGGCAGCTGGAACACAGATGCTCTTTAAGCTCTGGTCCTGGGTTCTAAGTAGGCCATCTAATGCCATTAGATGGTGGGTGGAGCTCAGGTTAGGGGCTCTAGCCACAGAAACCATGATGAAATCTGGTGTGGGGTCTGAGGGCTCTGATAGGGATCCTCACTGAGAGTAATAAGATTGTTCACTTGTGTGTGAAGGAGCAGTCTCTTGATTTTTGTGCTTTATATTTGCTATTATTTATTTGTGGATTTGGAAAGTACCTGCTACAGCTGATTTTTGATGTATCAATCTTTCTTTAGAACACAGTTAAAGCTGGTTTTGATTTGGATTGCAGAATTAAACCTTTATTAAACTTGTTATATTCAGAAGTAAAAATAGAGCACGGAACTTCAAAACTTTAGAAAAAATTTTAAAAGAACACTCCAGTCAATCTTTTGCCTTTGCTGTTGAATACAAAGTAGTTCACTAATCCTTTCTAACCTCAAGGCATGTTTTCTGAAATTTATCCATTCAGGCACTCCTCTGAAAGCCACATTAAGTTGGTAGCTAGTGTAAAATAAATAGCCTGAAGCATTCAAGAATGGATGTTTCCAATATTTTATGTGTTGTATGTGTAATTTGATATCATAAATATTTAACAACCACTTCCTCTAAAAAGATTCATACAAGCTTCAGGAAACTGATTTTGAACCATGACCAGAGAGGATAAAATAAAGTTTCTTAAAAAGAAAAACAAAACCAACAACTCAGGCCACCCCCCCAGCACTCACCATCCCAGTGCACTTATTATTAATTTACTGATTCCTGTCTTGGGGGAGAGAGATTTTGGCATTTTTAAACATATATTTAAAATCTTGTGGTCTAAGTAAAGAACAGTCTTAATTGTATGTAGCTGCCAGCTTTTGACCACTCTGTTTGAACAGCCCCTTTTGCATGTTAAAAGCTTTTCTACACTGCTCCTCTAAAATATTTGTAACCTGTCCTTTCAGGAAGGATTTCTGCAGAGCAGATGTAGCCAGATGGGAAAATTACACAGAGATGTGAGTAAAACCTCTAGATTTATATTCCATCAACTGCATGATTTATAATATTTGAATTGTAGTTTTGAAAGAGAATAGGTTGGAATGCATTCATGTGAACTGTGTGGCAGCTTGGAAAAGTATGATTAGGCTGGAGGCATAGTTTTCAGGAAGATGTAGTAGCAGTTTGAGTATCAATCAATCTATCTGATTGTAAATAGTGTATTGTTATTATTAGAAGATACTGCTTCCAATCAAATTGAGCTCAAATTTTTAGAATAATATTTCTTAAAAAAACTTTGGATATGACAAAGGCCTTTTCTATTTCTAAATTTCCATTGACTTTCTCACACATTTTAAGTGTAGCAATTATGTTTGTTAGACCTTTTACCACAGCATCTGAACTAAAACTGGAAGACTCATTCATAATTGCACATTCTGTGTAGTGACCAAAAGGAGGAAGATCAGAAAAGGAGTCAGTGTTTGTGTATTTTGAATACAGACTGAAGAGAGCTGTTAACTGGAATGGGATCTACCAGCCCACAGTGCTGGCTTTCAAAATGGAACATACATGTGCACATTCTTGTATAAATTATTTCTTCTTACCTTTAAGTTTATTTTGTGGCTATAAAGTACTTCACTGTTTGGTGCATAAAGTCTTTGATGTTAGTTTAAAAGTAAATGAATTTCAGGAAAATGTAGTGAATGCATAAAACCATCCGTGAACATTTCTTGCAAAAAATGCCCATTTGCACAAAATTCATTTATAGAACATTATGTAAGTAGAAGAGAATGAGCATTCCTGTTTGCAAATGCCAAAATATGATTTTGTAACAAGATGCATTATTATATTTTCTTTTCTTTTTTGTTTTTTTTAATTAAATTGCTTTAAAGTGAAGATGCATGAAATGTGAGCAGATAGTTGAGGCATAAATTACAAAAACTGTGCAACTGTCAGGAATGGTAATGTTCAAAGCAGCTGGAAAGAAAGTTTGCATATTTTGTCTGAAAGAATGAAGCTGGCAAATATCTTAACTGCTAAAGGAACACAAGATACAGAAGTTGGCCTTCAAAAGTGTTTTTTCTAGGCTAAGTCATGTGAATAAAGTTGTTTTTTGCAAACTGCAGGAAGCAGCTTATGAAAATCAACTGGAAAAAAACTCATATTCAGAGACCTGATTTGGTGTCTACTGAAGTCAGCAAAAGATTCCCAGCAAAAACACTGGAACCTCAAAATCTTTGGGGTGTTTTTTCTACTTTTGTTCTGAGGAATATATGAAGTGCCACTATTTTACACATCAAAGCTGAAACCCTGCTTAACTGTACAGGTGCACCAGAATTCCAACAGAACAGAATAGTAGAATTATTTGTTTTTTAAATGAAGATATTTGATTGATAATATTTAAGTTCCATTTGATATATGTTAACCAACACAAACAGGTCTTGAAATCACCCTAAAAAGATTTTCATATCCTTCAATTGCCTCTTCCTTCTTTTAAAGGAGGAAAACCTCCTATTTCCAATATTTGTTTTGGGATCAATTTTTTTTCTTTCCTGTAAGTGTGCCTTTTACTCTTTTTTCTTCCTTCAAAGTACTGTTTAGCTATGTGCTTGTAGGGTGATCTACTGGTAGAACTCAAACACTCAGAGTTACACTTTTCACTGATGTGGTACCGAGTTGTCTTAAACTGCAGATCACTCTGGGCTACCAAAGATAATTAGTTTCAGTTTTGCACACTAGGGCAGGCTAAATTTGAATAATTTCTGGTGTGCACATGCTGTCCACTCTCTCCCTCCCAAGCCGTGTTTCTGAACTGCAGTGTGATGCTCCATTGTGCATCTATTGGGTGATCCATCCCTGGTGTGGGATAAAGGCTGCCAGATGCTTTGGCACAGAGGTCTTCCCCAGGGTACCAGTGAGGAAACAAGCTGAACATCTGAGTAGCTGGCAACTCCCTCCTGTCCTCAGCAGGACAAACAACTTGTTTCACAGCTCCCTGGAAAGGATTCTTAAACTTCTACTAATGTTATGACTGGAGGGGATAAGCTGCCCCAAGCCTTTTAATCTCTCCCAGATATGTAGAGTATAATGAATGATCCACAAAATGGCTTTGCATTTCTGGCTTCTGATATCCAAACTGTACATTCCTGTATGACCTGAATGGATCACTCTAATTTACTCAGCAGTGTCGTATACTCTAAAATAATTTGTATTTTAAGTCCCTGCAGACAGAGTGACTTTAAAGAAAAAAAGTTGTGTTTAAAGTTGAGCATTGATGTATTTGAACCACTGTCACCTTGTTTTTCACTAGAAAGGAGCGTGTAGAGAGCAGCTTTTAAAATTTTTCTCAGTTTGTCAGTGCTTGCAGGTGACTGCTGTCTTCATTCATTGTGCTTCATTAGTATATAATTGCATTCAGTATAATACTGGGAATCCAGCATGTTCAAAGATAAACCCCTTGCTCATCTTCGTGGAAATATAGAGGAAGATATAGACAGAAGGTAGGGTAATGAAAGTAAATTCTTAATTGAGTTTTGAATCTTTCTAAAGGTTCTGTTTCTTGACATAAGCAGAGAAAATGTTAATAGAGCACTGCTCCCTCTTTGCTTTTCCACTGAGTCCCAGCCACGTGCCCCTGTT